CTGCCCCGGGGTCCCGCGGGGCAGCTTCTGGACTGTAAGCCCCTCGGGGCAGGAGCCTGCTCTTTGGTCGGCCAGGGCTCCTAGCCCGGGCCTGCAGCCGCCCTCCCCGCCGAGCAGCTGCAAGCGTGGGTGGCCCGGCCAGGTGCCCCAGCTGCCTGGGGCGCTGCTGCTCCTGCCCCCCCCTTGCATCAGGCCCGCACCCCGGGCATCGACCGGCCTCTTCTGCCGGGGGGGCTGGGAGGGATCGGGTGCTCCCGTCGGGAGGGCTCGCCAAGGCTCTCCTGCCCCCCGAGCACACCTGCTGGCCAGGCGGTCCCGCTCCCCAAAGAGCGGCTCCTTGGGAGCCGGCGGAAGCCCGGCCGGCGTGAGCTCTGCCCTCTCTTGCAGGTCACCTTGCTGAGGCAGCAAAGCAAAGGTACGGACGGGACGGGCGCTTCTTCCGTGGCTCCGGCAAGCCCCCCGCCCGACGAGGACGCTCAGCCGCAGCCCCACCGTGGCCTCGCTTCTTGCCACGCCGTGTTCTTGCCGCAAGTGCAGTTGCTTTGCTGGCAAGAGAACGTGCGGATGAGTCCCTCGGCTTCACGTCTCCCCCTTGCGGGGGAGAGATCCAAGGGGGCGGGGGGCCGGTTTCCTGGCACTGGGGTGCCCCATAATAGCCGTGCAAAGCATGGGGACCCGGTGCTTCCGCCAAACGCCGCGTGGAGACCCTGCTCGGTGGAAAACGTTCGTCTCCCCCACCGCCCCGCATGAAGGATGCTCAGAGGGCTCGAACGGCAGGCGGGGGGGGGGCGGGGGGCAAGGCCCTGGCGCCGGTGCTGACAGACTCACTCTCTTTTCCAGAAAAAGATAACTATGAAGCGGAAGACTGCAAGAGGTCAGTCCCGAAGCCATGCCCGCTGGAGCGCCGGGCCTCACCCCGTGGCAGGAGTGGCCGCCCCAATTTGTTCTCCGCCCTCTTTCCCTGCCTAGGTCAAAGGAAAAGCTTCTGACCGAGATCGGCTCTCTCCTGACCGAAATTGCCTTCCTGAAGGAAGTGCGGGAGCAGCTGGTGGGTGCTCTGAATCGGGGCCTCGTGCCGGCGTTCATGCACCGATCCGGTTCGAGCGCGCTTCACCCCGCTGCCTTTGCTCCTTGAGCGCCTGAGCGGGAGTGGGGCGTGCCGGGGCGCCGGGGGTCTTCCCTCCGCTCCCATCGGCCAGTGGGGGGGCGGATGGGACTTGCAGGCCAAAGCCCCCGCAGGACCACAAGCCCCTCGCATCCGGCCGGGGGGCAACTGGAGCGTCGGGGCCACATCAGGCCGTACACGTGGCGCCTCGGCATCCTGCAGCCGGAAGGGGCCCAAGAGCCAGGCCCGGCTCGGAGTGGGCTCTGCAGGGCAGAACGCGGCCAATGCACCCCCTCCCTTCCTTGCCCGCCCCCAGCTGTGGGGCAGTTTGGAGGGTTCGGCAGGGCTGCGCCTGCGGCTGGCGAGCGCTGGCCCAGAAGGCTCGTGGCGAGCCGAAGAGCGGGGCCCCTCCAGTCCCCCGACCCGCGTTCTGGCTCAGCCCGGCGCCCACTGCGCCCTGCGCCCAGGAAGGCAGCGGCGGCGCTCTCGGGGGCCACGACGGGCTGCCGAGAGCCCCCTCGCCGAGGGGCCGGGCGTGCGAGGGTCGGGGGCCCCGCGGGCAAAGGTCTGCTCCCCCGATCGCCTGCTCCCCGCTGCTCTCCGCAGAGGTTCACGGACCCCGAGGCCAGGAAGGAGACCACCAAAGCCCTGACGGAAACCATCCAGGCCAAGCTCGAGGTGGCCCACGCCAAGATCGAGGCCGCCGAGGCCAAGAAGGAGACCCTGGAGGCCCAGCGGCGGGCTGAGGAGGCCCGGGAGTCGGCGGAGGCGGCCCAGGCCCGGGAGGACACCCTGCTCGCCTACGTCTCCCGCATCGCCGCCCTGGCCTACCAGCAGGCCGCTGAGGCTGAGCACGGCTGTGCCCAAGCCCAGGGGGCCGCGGCGGCGGCAGCCGAGGGCGAGGGCCGGGCCCGCCGGAGCCACAGGCCCCACCGCGGCCACCGGGGCCACGGGGAGTGCCGCTGCCACCACCACCACCACCACCACCCCCGCGGCCACCACGAGCTGCGCAGCGACGCCGGGACCCAGAGCGAGCCGATGCCCTCCGAGCCGGAGACGCAGAGCAGCGCCCGATGAGGGCGGGGGGCCGGCCGGGGCGGCGCGGGGCCCAGCGGCCTCGTCCTGGGGCCCGGCACGGAATTAAAATGTATGTCTGAACCCGGCTCTGGTGCGCTAGCTCCTGCCACCCCCGTCCGCGTCTTCGGCCTTCCTGCCCTTGCTCCGGGCCCGGACTCCCCAGGGGGACCTTGCTCCAGCGTGGCTGAGCGTTCGGACACGACGGGGATGTCCGGGCCGGATGCATGCTTGCCTGGCCGCCTCCGCATGCGGGAAGTGCTCAGAGTGCCCGGAAGGGGGGCCGGGGGTCTTTCTTGGCTCAGTGAGTCTGTGTGTGTGGACCACTCAGACACACTCCCTGCCCCCCAGGCGCTCCGGTAATGTCTGAACGGGGCTCTGGAGCGCAGGTCAACGGCCCCCGCCGCCACTCCTCCGGGCCCGCTGCTACCTTGGCGCATCCTGGCCACTCTGGGGGCGCCTTTCCAGGGTGCGCCCCCCCCGCGAGGCCACAGATGACTGCCAGCTTCAGGGGCTGCCGTGGCTCAGCCCTGGCGGGGCAGGCTGGACCTGGGGGTCCTGCGCCCTCCCGGCCCCACGCAGCCCGGCGTGTGAATCAAGCGCGAGCAGGCGAGGCCTTTGTCCGCTGCCGTGGGTCAGCTCACACCTCTCCTGTGGGAAGCCGCTTCCGGGGCCCCTCCCACTGGCCGCTGAGGCAGACCCCTGGGCCCATTTGCCACTGCAAGAAGCATGTCCCATCCATGCAGTGCCTTCCCGTGGCAGACGATTACGCACTCAGGTTTGTGTGGCTGCCGGTGCCTGTGGTGTGAATAGTTTTCGCTCTGCACATCTTCAGACAGAATCATGCCTGCTCGCCACGGGGCTGCCGTTGCTGCTAAAATAAGGGACTGATTCATCCCTTAATCTCTCCCCGTTTCCCAATTTTACATTTGGTTTGGGGTTTTTTTTGGGATGCTGAGATTTTTCCCAGTCTAGTTGGATTAATCTGGAGCATCAAACAATTTTCATTTAACTTGCCGTGAAAACTTATATGCATCTCTGGTGCTTTTCTCATGCATTTTGGCAGAAAGCCTTGCCTGACCGACACATGTTTGGAAGCGCTTGCCTTGTAAAAGCCACGTTCAGATGTGCATTTTGCTAAGTGTGCATTTTTGTGCACCTCCTTTGATGGGAGGATGCCACTGTGAGATCTGGCGATGTGCAAATGTTGAGGAAATAATCATGTGCCAGTTTGTGTGTTGGGTCAAAAGTGTGGTGTACAGCAAGGTCACACACAGGTCATGAGTGGAGCCGGCTGGAGCCGGGGTCAGACTAGATGGCCCGAGAGACCCCTTCTGCCTCGCTCTGTTTCAGAGTTTCTAAAATGGAACCGGAGATAATCTGCTCCCCTTCCCTAGTCCAAATTCTCTCTTGCTCTTCCCCGTTCTGCTCCAAAGTGGTCCTCCCCACTCCCTGGGGGATGCCCCCCCCCCCGCACATCCCAAAGAGAAGATCACAGGGCGCTTCTTCTGGGTGACTTGGATAATTATGTGGCAGCACTCAACAGCAAGAAAACTCAGATCATGGCATCTGGTCCTCTCACTTCCTGGCAAATAGATGGGGAAGAAATGGAGGTAGTGACAGATTTTTTTTCCTGGGCTGCAAGATCACCGCAGGTGGGGACTGCACCCAAGAAATTGAAAGATGCTTGCTCCTGGGGAGGAAAGCTATGGCAAATCTAGACAGCATACTAGAAAGCAGAGACATCACCCTGCCGACAAAAGTGCGTATAGTCAAGGCGATGGTTTTCCCAGTTGCAAAGTATGGCTGTGAAAGCTGGACCATAAGGAAGGCTGAGCGCCGAAGGATTGAGGCCTTTGGATTGTGGTGCTGGAGGAGACTCGGTGAGTCCCTTGGACCGCAAGGCGATCAAACTGGTCAGTCCTAGAGGAGATCAGCCCTGACTGCTCTTGAGAAGGCCAGATCCTGAAGATGAAGCTCAAATACTTTGGCCACCTAATGGGAAGGAAGGACTCCCTGGAGAAGAGCCTGATGCTGGGAACAATAGATGGCAAAAGAAGGAGAGGACGGCAGAGGATGAGGAGGCTGGATGGGGTCACTGGGGCAGTGGGTGTGGGGTTTAGTGGACTCCAGGGGATGGTGGAGGGCAGGGAGGCCTGGAGGAGTGTTGTCCGTGGGGTTGCGATGGGTCGGACGCGACTTTGCGACTCACAACAACAACAACATCTTTTTATTCCATTATGGCGAAAGTGACAGGCGGCATTGCACGAAGCAGAAGGTCCCCCGCGCCCCCGGCCGCTCAGCAGCCCCCGCCCTGCGCGCGCTGGGGTCCCGGGGGGCTCGAGCACCGCTGTGGCCCGTGCGTCAGGCATGGCCTCTTGCTCCGGCGAGCCAGGATCGCCGCCCGCGCAAGGCCGGTACCCGGAGCAGCTCTGCTGGAGGCGGAAGGCCTGCAGGCTTGGCAGCCTCCCGCCGCTTTGGCTTACACGTGAGGAGAGAGCGCAGTACAGTGGGGGGGGGGCAGGTCCACCCCCGGGCAGGGTCATGGGGTGGTGGGAGCATTACAGTAGAGTACGGCCGCCTTCCCCAGCCCGGAGCCCGCCAGGTGTGTCGGACTGAGGGCGCCTGCTTGGGGAAGGTGCTCTGCCGCAGGTCCGGAGAGGGGCAGCGGCAGGGGCAGAGGCGTGGGAGGCATCCCCCGGGAGCCGGAGCTGGCGGGGGGAGAGGAGAGGCGTCTGCCAGGCGCGGCCGGCCTCGCGCGTCCCGTGGTCTCCCCGTCGACAGGTGCCGGGGCCGTTCTCTGGCGGCCGGGCCTCGCTGGTTACAGCGTCGAGCACTTGACGCCCGCGTCCTCGGCGTGCCCACAGTTTGTCTTGCCCCAGCTGGGGAAGCTGCACTGGAGCAGGCTGTCCTCCGTCCCCTTGCAGGCCACGTCGTCCATCCAGATGTGTCCCTTCCCTGTGCGAAGAATCGGACGGGCGTCAGCCGCGGATCCCGCCCCAGCATGGCCCCCCGCGGCCTTGGCGCGTCCTGCCTGGCCGCAGCCACGCGGGGCGCATCCAGCCTGGGCGGTGAGCACAGGCCCCGGGACGCTTCCCGGGGCTGCCCCAGAGCCTGGCGGCCCCTTCCCGGGCGCACGGGCAGCTCCTGGCCGCCGAGGGGAGTGGGGCGTCCTCAGTGAGGGCAGGGGCCGTGTTTTTAATAAAAGGACTTGGTGCCACGGAGGCTTGGAGGCTCCTGCTCAGGCTGGCCCTGAAATATTTTCATGGGACATCAAAAGAGGCAAACAGAACTCCGGGCACGTCGGGAAAGGAACCGCAGAAGGGGAGATCAAAGGGCTGCTTTGTCCAAAAAGCCCGTTTCTCGCCGTGGCCAATCAGATAACGACATAGAGCTTTGTTAAGCTTGGCCTAAATGACGCCAGCTGCCACCCCTGGCACACGCGTGTGCTCGCACACACACAATCGCTCTGCTGTTCGGCCACCTGGTTTAGTGGAGGTGGATTCCAGAAATGAATTCCGTGCTCTGTGGCGAAGCGTGGGCTTTGCCATCTCTCCCCAGCACTCCTGGAAGTCCGAGGGGCATCCAGCATCTGCGCCTTCTCAGGGCTGTGATCCTTGCATTTGGGGGGGGGGGGCACGCCCTGAGCCAGGCCAGCAGGCCATGTGGTCCTGCACGGAGACCCTGGTCTTGCCACCTGCACAGCAGGTGCTCTGCTCATGGCGCTGCGGCCGAGCCAGCCGCCCGGAAGGGAGGGGGGCGCGCCACGGCAGAGCGGAGGATGGGCACGGTGGTCCCGGCGACCCTCACGGGGGGTTCAGTCCGGGCTGGACGGGGAGGCTTCAGTCCTAGGGAGAGCCACCCTGCCGCCCTGGAACTTGGGTCCCAGCGAGCCCCCTGGCTCCTGATGGCATGTGGCCGGTGCCCTTTTTCCGCACGGAAGCCAAGCCAGGCCACTGCACAAGCGCGGGACCCGGGCACCGGGGCGACAAACGGTCCCTCAGGGGCTGCTGATCCCACACTGTTCTGTTTTCCACCCTGGAAGCTCTCTGCCCCGTCCTTCGAATTTCCCCGTGGGAGCGGTAAGTCAGGCCTCATCCTGCCAGCGTGTGAATCACCAAGAAAGCAGGCGAGGCGATGCCGGGAACTCGCCAACGGACCCCTCAATGGAGCGGAGAGTGGAGAGCGAGCAACCCTGGCCAGGAAGCGCTTCCCTCGATTTAGCCGGGACTGGAGGGGGTCATGCAGAGAGGAGAAGGCGGCTTCGCTTGACCGCCTGGCCAAGGGGCATTCTGGGCGGCTTGCCTGGAGCGGCCGCGGGAACAGGGAGCCTCTGGCACCAATGCTGGACCGTGCGTGCTTGCTGATCCACCGTGTACCCGGCGGTATCTCAACAACCGGGGCCTGGGAACCGTGCAAAGGCCGCTGAACACACGAGCGCTGCCAGAACCGGACCCCTAACGCCCAGCCTTGGCTGCGGCCTTCCTCGGTCGGGCTGCTCCGACACCCCGCACTCCCCCGGCCAGCCTCTGGTCAGCGGCTGGAGCCGAGCGCCCGGCTTCCTGTCTCCTGGTCGCCCTTTGGGCCAAGCACCACGCCATGAGATTCCCTTGTGTGGTGCCCCCGTCCTGGCTGGCCGAAGCCCCAGAAGCCGGCCCGCCCGCATTACCTTGCCCGAAGGCCGCCATCCGATAGACCTCCTCGGCGCCGGGGAAGCCCAGCATGCGGCACAGCACGTCGCCGTCCTTCTTGTCCCAGCCGTCGTCACACACCGTCCCCCAGGCCTGGTTGTGGAAGACCTCCACACGCCCTTCGTGCGGGCCGGAGCCGTTCACCAGCCGGACAGGCATCCCCTCCTGGACGGGCGCTGTGGGGGGAGGCAAAGCAGGAGGCCCAGGTGGGGGGTCGCCAAGCCCAAGGGCCGGGCCTGCCCCCCACCAGGGCCCCCCCAGGCGTAACCTGCCAGGCTCTTTTCTGCGGGCAGATGGAGAAGGAATGGATCCGGCCGGGACTGCAGCCCTCGTCATTCCAGAGGCAGCACAGCCGGCCAGCGGCCCAGCCGGCTGAGGAGGGCGCAGGTGAGAGACCAACGGATCCAACGGCTGCAGGCGGGGACGGGATCGCTCAGAAGGGGGGCTGGATTTCCAAGCATTCACACCTTCTCGGAAAGATCCTCTTTGGGGCCTGCAGGACGCCGTCACACTGCCCCTTTTTCTCAGACGGGCTGGCATGCAATTCTAGAAGCACGGGTGCGTTCCGCGCAGCGCCCCCCCTCCCATCCCGCACACCTGGGCCTTCTCCAGGGCACCAGCCCAGGTGTGGAGGACGTCCCGCTGCCGGGCCGGTGGTGCCAGCTGCTCGGATCCCACTGCGCGGTGGGTGAGGCGATCCCCCCCTTGGCCGCAACTTCTTGCAACGTGTGCTGTGCACGCGGGGGGGGGGGGCGATCCACTCCTTGGAGGGATGCTCTGCCAGGGCCTCGCCCATTAAGCGTCCACCCCTGCCGCCCCGGCCCCCCAGCCAAGCCCCCGAGCGGAGGCTCCCTGGGCTCCCTCGCGGCTGCCTTGAGCTCGGCACCGCAGAGGCCGTGAGCTGCGGGCTCTGATCCAGGCCACAGCTCACCAGCTCCAGGGGCTGGGCATGGGCCGCTCCGTTCTGCCAGAACGGCTCCTTCCCCCAGGAGGAAGGAGCTGAACAGCCTCCCCCACGTCCAGAATCGGGCTGGGAGGGCAGGCGGGAGCAGGGGCGGCCCCCCGCCCGCGTGGGTTGCCCCCACCGACACAGCGCACTCTCCGGATGGAAGCCCCTTCTTCGCTGCACTCGGCCCCGAGCGGATCCACCCCGAACAGGCCCAGCCGGCCACGCGCCTGCCCTTCAGCGGCTGCCGTCCGTCTGACGCGACAGCTCCGATTCCCTGCGCTTGAGCCCAGAGAGCGGCTTCTGCCCGTCCCGACCTGCAGGCGAGCCGCGAGGCGGGCACCCTGCCCGTGTGTCAGCGGCAGGCGGAAACGAGCAGTGCCCACGTCAGGCGGTGAAGGGCGCTGGCCGGCCTGGCTGCCCACGGCTCCGGTTCAGCACGGCACGTGCGGGGACAGCTGCCCCCCCCAAAGGCCAACAGTGGGCAGGAGGGAAGGTCGAAGAGAGCCCCTCTGGCAGGCGGGGAGGGCATAAATCTCACAGCAAAACGGAGGAGTTGCGAGATGGCCAAGGACGGACAGGCGGCCCTTAAAGGCACAAAAGTGCCCGGGTCGTTGGCACGGAGGGCCATGTGACTAAGCCGGCACAGAAGCGCATTAATTCAATAAATAAAAGGTGCACCTTTGAAAAAGATGCGCCACGAGGCACTCTTGCTCCTCCTATCGTCCCAGGAGCAAAGTGAGAACGAGCCAAGAGGGGCTTCCGAGGGGCTTCCAGGGAACGTAGCAGAGCTCGGAGGGTGCTGGTCCTGCCAGAGCGGTAGAAACTGGGAGATGCTTTGCGCCCGGGCTTGACCTGGCCTGCCCGCCACACCGCCAGTCGCGCGCCTGCCGAGGCCGCATGGATGGGTGCCGGCATGCTTGGCCGGGCTGCACAAAGTCCGCTCGGCACGGCTTTCGGGCTGCAGATGTGCTGGGAGAGGGTTCAATGTGCAGCTGGGCATATTCCAGGTAAGGAATGGGCATATTATGCAAGCAGCCCGTGCAGAAGTTGGGTAAGTCGTCTGGGACACAGAACGCGTTGCTTTCCAATGAAACGGGCTGCAGAAAAGCTATTTTTGCACTGGAGGGGGGGGGGGGCAGATGGCCAGCATTAAGGTGGCCCATGCTCCAGAATCTTTCACTTGCACTGAGGCAGTGAGTGGGTTTAGGCCAGAATTACATTTCATTCCATTAAATTCCAGTTTATTTCCAATTAGAGCCCCTGCGCTTACTAATCTCCCCAAATTACCGTCAGCTCTCAAAAAGCTAGAAGAAATAGCAGCACATGAAAATTAGGCCCAGATCCCGAAAAGCAGGTAGAGGAGGAAGCACCTGAGATTATCCAGTGATGCTTATCGTTCGGTCAATGCTGGGAGAGAATGAGGTTGACCTTACGGCGAAAGAGAACGGCTGCCAGTTGGTGGCCACTGGCTTTGCACTCCTGGGCCAAAAAGCTGTGATCCAGGGGCAGCTGTGCTTCTTGCTGCGCAGTTGGATTAGGGAATGTTACCTGAAACACCGTCTTTGTGCATTATTAGATTTTAGCAGTGCCAATGGCCTTTGCCCAGTTTTTTCTGTTTTAAATATAAAGCATTTATGCACACATTGCTACTGTATTTTATGGCTTCATTTGCTGTTGTTGTTATATTTGTTTGCCACCCCCCAGCCCACAGGACTCCAGATGGCTTACTATAGAACAAGAAAATGCATATTCCATACAAATGCAGGAATATATACAAATGTTGTTATGCGAACTATCCTGAGAACATTGCTAGCGGGCGGTACAGAATTAAACTTTCAGTATCTTTTTGTTCACCCAAATGACTGGAGACTGAGGGTTTTTGGTTTGTTTGTTTGAAGCTCAAGGAGAAACTGGGAATGTCACCGAGCCTTTTCTATCCCGATCTCCAATTGCGCAGGCAGAAGAAACCAAAGTAACAACGCTGATTTAAGGGTGATGCTTTCCATCCATATGAAGAGCTTTTGTGCTTTCCATATGAGGAACTTTGCAAATTTGGCAAATTCTTATTGAAAAGTCAACGTAATGGAAACTCCACCCTCTTTGCACAGGCCCAGAGCAGCAGGTACAGCTGTTCCCGGCGTGGAGAGAACTCCGTACCGGCCGAGTTCGATAACTCCTGAAGGTGAGGAACCTGCCAGCAGAGAGCCAGGACAACCCCAGTTCTGCCCCACACACACGGTGAAATGCACAGGAAGGCAGCGCCTGGGGCCTGGGCAGGCAAATCGGACAGGCACAGGCAGAACCTCCACATTCAGAATCTTAAAAAGAAAAAGCGACTCGTGTTCCTGCCTTCCCAGATCTGGAGAGATGGAAGCGCTGTGCAGCGCTGTGCTGAGCTTCTCATGCACCCGGGTCATGGATAGCTGTGTGCACGTTTCCATGCAGGGGAGCATGGGGAAGCTGAGGGCCCCTGGGGCAATGCACACCACGCCAGCCACGAGGCCGGGGCCCCTCGGTTCATGGCCAGCCCCCCCACCACCCCCAGCTGGCCATTTCTCCAGGACGCTTTCCCTGGAAAGAGCCAGCCTGTGGCAGAAAGATGTGTGGGCGAGCCTCTCTCCCAACTACTCCGAGGGTCCCAGTGGCCTTTGTTCCTCTCGCAGATGTGCTTTATGGCACTTACTGCTTCTCCAGCCCTTTACCGAAAGGGAAAATGGAAGGAAAAGAAATAAACACGATTGCTTAGGAAAACAACCCCTCAGGCCGCTGCAGCTGCGCAAAGATACCATCGCCTGGGCTAATTGGGACCATGTGTCAGCTCGGGATGTGGAAGATTTATGCGCTCGCTCGCGGGAGAAGGAAGGAGGAAAGGAAGGAAGGCGCCCATTTTTCATTCCAGGGAATGGTCACGCTCCAGAGTGCCAGACTCCCACGTTCCTCAGGCACCGCCAGGGCCCCTGTTGCCCTTGCTGTGTGCAGCCCCCGAAGGACCCCCCCCCCCCCGAAAGGGAAAGGAAAAGGGTGTGGGGGGGCTGAGGCCTGGGCAGTTTGATCCCGGTGGACGGTGACTCTAGGCCAGCCCTGGTGGCCCCTCGGCAGCCCAGGCGGCAGCCGCTGTGGGTTTGGTCCGGGCCCCAGACGGTCCCCGTGGGAGGAGGCCACCTGCTCTGTAAGGATCACTAGGGCGCCCTCCCCTCGGGTGGGGGACTGGCCCGTGCTGGCCACAGGGGCCCGTCTAGGCTCCCTCTGCTGGCCCCTACTTCCCCGCAGGGACCCCTCCCCTGCTCTGGGGGAGCACTCTCTGCCTGGGGCTGGGAAGGAGGCAGGGAGAGGACCCTCACGCTATCTCTGGGGCAAGGGGGCTCCCCCAAGGGGGGCCCTTGCAGAGGGCGGGGGGGTCATCAAGCCCTCCGGCAAACTCCACCAGCCGAGACTCTTCCCAGTCACACCTGCAGGGGAAGGGGAGGCACTTGAGGCCAGGTGAGGACTTCCAGGGCAGCCCCCACCCCCCGGACTGGTGCAGCGCGATGAAGCTCGAGGCACAGCGCACCGGGACTCTGGTCCCTGCGGGCGGGCCGTCTGTCTTGGGGAAGGCAAGCACTGTTCTGCAGGGGCGGCTTTGGAGGAGGGAAGGGGTTGCCAGGTGCCCCCTCCCCGTGGCAGCACAGCAGGGCCAGGCGAATCCCACCCCCGCCCCCAGCCCCTCCGTTCCCCAGCCGCCCCTTCCTTCAAGAGCGGCCCTTCGCGTCCCGTTCCACCTGCCACCACACTGAGGTTGCGCTCCCCGCCCGCGTTTTGTGCCCCAAACATCCGCGGCAGGATGGGCCGGTGCACCAGGGAGGCTGCTGTGCAGGCAGAAGTTCAACAGGGGCAGCTTTGCCTGGCACAGTGGGAAGGCAGTGCCTTCTCCTGGAGCAAGCTCAGGCCGAGCGGCCAGCACAGCACGGAGGCAGCCCGCCTGGGAGAATCGGGACGACTCTTACCTGTGTCTCCTTGGCCTCGGTCGCCTTTCTCGCCTTTCTCGCCCTTTGCGCCTGAAAACGGAAAAGGGGGAAAGTGATTCTCGGGGCGGTAGGAGGTGAAGCTGGCGGGGGCCTGGGACCCTCCCGTTGCATTTCGTTCGGAAACTGGAGCCCCAGCGCCGGGGCGGGCTGTGAGGGACGCTGGAGCACGTGAATTTCGCAAGCTCGCTGCTGCCTGTGGATGCCAAGTTTGGTTTCTCTCTCTTGGGTGGTTCATCTCAGCTAAAGCCCGATTTTCCAACCGCGAGGAGGACGGGGCTGCGGGAGGCATCTCTGTGCTCAGAGCAGGGAAAGCTGGTGAATGCCAAGGGCTCGGCCCCAAGGGCAAAGGGGGCACGGCCAGGCAGGAAATGCCCTCGCGCAGCACGGCTGGTCTTCTCGGGGCTTGCACAGGAGGCGTGGGCACTGCCGGCCGGATCCGCCAGGCTCCCCCTCAGCTGCCCATAGTCCAATCCTGAAAGTAAGCCCACAAAAGTTGCTAGTCCATATGTTACGTGGCTTGCCTGGGGTCGGACCCACAGATCGGCCCTCCACCCTGGGCCAGGCCTTCCTTTGTGCACTCGCCGGACGACCCGCCATGTGAGAACGTGTCCGGGGGAGCTGGCAGGCGAACGGGCGCAGCAAAAAGGCCCCTTAAGTTCCCCCCGCATTTGTGTGTGCCTTTCATTCAAAGAGTGAATGTATTTAAGGGGGGGGAGACAGCTCCCCTGGTCCCCACACTGTGGGGAAAGAGAAGGGGTCCTCGACCTGGCCCTCTCCCTACCCCTGTGGGTGGAGCCAGGGAGGCACCCGGCACCCCACGCTTTGTGCCCCAAACAAGCAGGGATGCCCCGCCAGACTTTCCCATGCGCTCACTATGCACAGGTGCAAGAGAGTGAAAGGGCAGATATATTGGGGGGGGGGGAGTTGGCAGCTCATCAAGCAGGAGACCAGCCCTTTCTCTCTGCCCAGAAACCAGCGGGCCGAGCCCCCTCCCATGCGGCCTTTCCCACGGCCGAGCTCCATTGAAGCCCCCGTGATTTAGTGGTGAGAAGGTTCATTGAGCGTCATCTGATTTACTTCTGAGTAGACGTGTGTGCGCTCAGCCAGCTGTTCCTTGAGCAGAGAACAAAGACCGCAATCAGGAAAGTCTGAAAAGACACGCAAACTTTATATCTTTTTCGGGGGGGGGGTGGATCTGCAAGTCAGAAAGAAAGTCGGGGGGCAGCAGCAGGGGAGGCAGGGTGCCACCGACGGCTCCTGGAGCTGCCGCCCCATGGCTCGTCCCCCCACACCCCGCTGGGAGGGCAAGGGCAGCCCTGGGGCGCTGGGCCCCGGCGGAAGCGTGGGAAGCCGGTCGTGGACGTTCCACGTAAAAGGAGAGGGACAACGCGACCACGACCCGTGGGGTGTGGGCCTGGCATGTGGGGTCTCCGGGAGGGACAAGGAAGAGGAGCCCTGAGCTGTGGCCACATTTCCCACCCCACTGATGTGGGCAGCCAGGCAGTGGCGGATGCGCTTGCCTCGGTGCGCCCCAAGCACTCCGTCGCCCCGGCCCACGGGCCGCCTCTGACCTGGGAGTGAGGCAGGGAAGCTGCTCCGACCCCGAGTCCTCTGGGATCTCTGGCTAAGGGAGGTTCCAGAGCTCGCCTGCTCCGACGGCCTGCCTGTGCGCCGAGGCTGCGCAGCGAGTTCCGCGCCTCTCGAGACAAGGGCTCTTCTACGCACGTGCCGAGTTGGCCAGCGGCTCGCTTCAGGCAGGGCTGTGAGGTCAGTCCAGCTCTTTGGCGGAGGCTTGGCGCCTGAGCCGTTCCACAGACCCACCACGGCCAGGCAGCCGGTGACGCTCGGCCTGCCTCCCTCCTCCACCCTCCGGCCCGCATCCGTGGCAGAAGCGGCCAGCCAGGAAGGCCCCACGGCCGGGCCACGGGTGACGCCACGGCTCCTCTCGCGTGTCCGCTCTACCACGCTCAGGATGGCGCCTGCCTCGGCGTTCACACGGGGCTCCGCCGGCTCCTCCCGGTGTGGGCCTGCCTGCCCCTCCGCCCTCGCCTGGGTGTCCCTTCGCTTTCCCCTGCACCCAGTTCTTAAAAAATAAAACCCTCTCCATTCTGTCTGTGAAGGAATGTGTGCACTTCGCTGCGCTTGGATCAAAAATGACCCGCAACCAAGTCCAGGTCTCCTCCCCTGAGCCCCGAGCGCCGTGGCCAGCGGGTCTGAATTGGCTGGGCCGACGGGGCCCCGTAAAGGCAGCCCCACGTTCCCAAGAGCCACGCAGCCCGAGCCTTGGCCTGGACGGACACCATCCGTCTGCTCCCAGTCCTCCCAGCTGCACTTGGAAAAATCTGAAATACCGCCTAACCCGCTTATCCAAGCATGTAATATTTGAACATTTTAAATGGAAATGGAACTGCTTGCAGCATTTGAAATTTTGTCTACAGCACTTTTATGCTGTGTATTATCGCTTCTGTATTTATGCTGCGGTTTATTCTTGCACCCGTGTTTGTGCATTGCGAGAGCTTTGGCTATTGAGTAGCACTGACATGTAAGCGAAAAATGACATTAAAACGCTGCCGATCAACAGCCTGCGGGCCCAAGGCAGCGGGGGGAGCGTCTCCTGCGGATGCGGAAGGTGCAGGCCTTGAATAATTGGCAGCGTGATGCCAGGTGTCAAGAACTCTTCGTTTCTTTGCTTCGGGTGAATGACAATGGCTCCCCCCCCCCCCCGTGCACGACATCTCGGGGGATAATCAGCAGCCATTCCGGAGCCCCTCTTTGCAACCGTCCACCCCAGGCCCCCTCCGCTGCCTGCCCAGATCCCCGGCTGCCACCTTCCGCTGGCACCATGCCCAGCCCCGCGATCTGGCGCACATGGCACTCGGCGGCATTTGCATCCCGCTAGCCCCCCTCCCACGGCTTTCCTCCCTGCCAGCCCCCCAGTGTTTGTGCCTTGATCCTGCCTGAAAGGGTGCCCGAGGTGGGAAGCAGCTCCGGGCGGCAATCTTCCCATGGAGCTCGCGTGTGCCGGGCGGCCCGGGGTCGCTGCTCCAAAGCCGGGGCACTTCGGAGCCATTCCTGCCTGGGCAGGTCACAGGGAGGGGATTCTGCTGGGAGGGGGCCAGAGGAGGCCCGGCATCGCTGCCCAGGCCGGGTGCTTCTCAGGAAAATGGGGCCCACGCGCCCTTCCCTGCCCCAGAGGAGCCGCTCGCCTGCCAAGGGGCCACCGTGCCCTCCTGCGCTCACCAGCCGGCTGCAAGGCCTTCTCCGTGGGGCTCCCCCCACCCTGCCTGCCTGCCTGCCTGCCTGCCTGCCTGCCTGCCTGAAGGCCTTTCCTCGTGTGGATCAGGCACCTCCAGGGCCACGTGGGGCTGCCACGTCCATGGTCCTGCTGCCACCAAGGCTGCCCCCGTGCCGCTCTGAGCCTCCTGAAGCTTCGTGGGCGAGGCCTGGGTTGCTCAGGGACTCCTCCGCCAGCGCCCCGCTCCAGTCTCTCCACCCAGCCGGGAGTGCTCCTTCCCCGCGTCCCACCCAGCAAGGACCACGGCTGCAGCTGGGCGTGGAGCAGGGCGAAGGGAAGGCTCACGGCCTGAGGGGCCCTGGCACCCGAGCCGGCGCGGGTCACAGCACACTGAGCGACGTCAGGAAACACTCCTCACTCTCAGCGCCTCTCTCAGGATGGTCCTCGCAGGCGTCTCGGACGTCTGCCTCCCACAGAAGCGCAGCAAGACCCGCCCTCAAATGCGGTAGCCGCCGTTGAAGGTCTGCCCTGGAGCCCTGAGTTCTCATGGAAATGGACTGGGGACAACGGGATGGCGCTCAGTGTGGAGAAGTGCAAGGTCTTGCACTTGGGGCACAGGAATGGGCGCCACAAGTACAGGTCAGGGGACAAGTGGCTGGAAAGCAGCACTTGTGGAAGGGACCTCGGGGTGCTGGTGGACTGCGGGCTGAACATGAGTCAGCCGTGTGATGCGGTGGCCAAGAGGGCGAGCGCACCCTTGGTTGCATAGCCAGAAGTGTGGCTTCTCGATCGAGAGAGGTATCACTGCCCCTCTACACGACTCTGGTGCGCCCGCAACTGGAGTATTGTGCTCAGTTTTGGGCCCCTCATTACAGGAAGGATAGAGCCAGGTTGGAGTCAGTGCAGCGCAGGGCAACAAGGTTGGTGGCCGGTTTGCAGGGGATGCCGTATGAGGCGAGACTGAGGGAACTGGGTCTCTTCAGCCTGGAGAAGAGGAGACTCAGAGGGGGTCTGTTGGTGACATGCAGGTATGTGAGGGGGTGTCACACGGAGGTGGGGAGAGACCTGTTCTCCCCTGCAGAGGAAGGCAGGATGCGCTCCAGCAGAGCAAAGCTCAGGGAGCCAAGGTTCAATTTGGATGCCAGGAAGCACTTCCTGACGGGTAGGACCCTGAGGGTGTGGAATGGGCTTCCCTGGGAGGTGGTTGAGGCCCCATTGGTGAGGGTGTTCAAGGACAGGCTGGACGTCCACATGGTGGGCATGTCGTGAGCGGAGCTGGCTGGTGCCGGAGGTCAGACTAGATGGCCCGGGAGGCCCCCCCTTCTGACTTGCTCTGTTTCTATGTTTCTAATCTCCTTCTTTTTACACATCTTGGTCTGGCAATCATATCTACTTCACAGCACTGTGTATTTGGTGCATGGTATAATTTCTTGCACAGAGTAATGTTTCTCTACTCTGTGAAGGCCTTAGAGCCCCCTAGGCAAGCTGGTGCCCTCCAGACAGTGTTGAACTGCAATTCCCATCATTCCCAGTCAGCATGGTCATCCAGCACTGCCAAGAAACTCTGCAGCTGCCCAAGACGGACGCTAACTCTGCTGAATACGGGCCAACGACTAAGTTAGCCAAAGCCCAGGAAATGAAACACGGACCGTGCATAATCTTGCAATGCGGGATGCGCATCCGTGGATGCTCTTGCTCAAGGCCCCAGCCCCTCGCGCCTGGGAATCGCTCCGTGGCCAGGGCAGCGCATTCCCCTTCGAGTTGATCTTGGCCCGCCGGCGTTCCCTGCCTCTGT